CACTTCTTGACTGCAACTCTTCCCATGGACTGTGCTGTCTGTACCAGCTGCAGTGACACAATCAAAGAGTATGTCTCATCTTACTTGGTTACACGTTACTGACCAGACTCTGTAAACTCATCCTATCAGTGCTGATAGACTTGGACTTACTTCCGTCAATAGTTTTTCTCGATAAACGTCGATTCTCGCGGTCTCTCTGGTTTCGCAGTGCCTGTGAGCGGCTGCTGGAGGCGCTAACTCACCAGCTGTGTGAGATGGAGAAGGTGACCCTGCAGCACATGAGGGATACAACAGTGCTTGTCCCTGAAGCGCTCCACTTCCTCCTTCCAGAGCCAAAAGGTCTGGTGACTGTGGTTTATCCAGCAGGAGCATCTGACAGCCAACTAGAAACACAACGTAAGGTGAGAACTACAGACTGATCTTTTTAAAATCATAGATGTTGTTATCCTGATGATGAGATTGTTAGTGTTAGCAAGTTTATTGCTAAAACAACTAATAAAATAGAAATGGAGGCTGAGGAATATAACTGTCCAGCTGGCAGGTGAATTCAAATTGTTGTACATGTATAATAAACTATCATCTTTAAAAGCAATGCATCACCTGTGCTTGTAATGTGTTTTTTTAAAAAACATATTTCTGTCACTTTGTTTCTTTGTGTAAGTAGGAGTTGCATCAGCAGTTCGAGCTGCCAGATGACAGGCCTTACTTTAGAAGAGCCAATGCTTACCACTTTCCCAATGAGCCGTACAAAGACGGCTATCTCCGAAACCCTCATGTGGTTCTTACACATCCTACACTGGATAATGGAAAGGTAAAACTGTCAAAGTCTTTCCCTTCCATTGACAACAAATAGAGATGTACTTTGCAAAGAATTTTAAACTTGATTTGTTCTTTTTTCATATGTGTGTTTTTTTTCTCAAGGTGTACTTGGTCCAGGGGATCTACAGCTATCACCACTACATGCAAGACCGTATGGATGACAATGGCTGGGGCTGCGCTTATCGCTCCCTGCAGACCATCTGCTCCTGGTTCCAACAGCAAGGTTACGTAGAGAGGCCTGTTCCCACTCACAAGGAGATCCAGCAGGTAGCCGCCCTGTCAGTATGATCCCAAAACAATAGAAAACATGCCCATATTTGCATATCAGTCATGTTCAAGATGCCTGTTTCTTATTTGGCCTGTGCTCCAGGCTTTAGTGGACGTTGGAGACAAGCAGACATCCTTTGTGGGGTCACGTCAGTGGATCGGATCCATTGAGGTTCAGGCTGTTCTGAACCAGCTGCTTGGGATCACTTCCAAGATCATGTTTGTGAGGTATGATTACACTCCTAGCATCAGCACCTTGTGAATGTTTAATGTGGATGATCTGGATTTTCTGACAACTTATCTGTAAATTCTTTAGTCAGGGATCTGAGTTGGCATCCAAAGGCAGAGAACTGGCCAACCACTTCCTCACTGAAGGAACGCCCATCATGATTGGTGAGCTAAATATCTAATTATTATTATTAGAACAATTTTAAAGTTGGGAGTTTAATTGAACTTTAAGCTTAACACTTTAACACAAACTTAACTTTAAAAAACAAACAAACAAACAAACAAACAAAAAGACTAGAGCAGCATTTGTGATCATAGTTTTGTTTTGTGAAATTCCATTGAATTTTTGTTATAGAACAATAATGTCACCTAAAATTTCTCTGAAAAAAATAATCAATGATTTAAATGTTATCCGGTCACTCCTCCACAAAAAATCAAAATGGACGGCTATACCCTGCCATTAAAGCGACTGGTGGTTGTTTTAGTACAGACATATTAGGCTATAGACATCATCTTAAACAAAATATTTTTGAAGCTGTTTGTATCCATTAGCAACCTTTGTTAACACAAGAACACCATGAAAAATAATTTAGTATAGGCTTTATGAGAGATTTATATTGTTTATGTAAACATATGTGAAATTCTTCTGGTCAAGATTGTCACTAATTGGCCCGTAAATTTAAATTGAACTGGATATTGATCATGGATTTGGTAGAAGAGGGATTCTACATTTTTTAAAACCCATACTACTTATGGTTAATACATACAGAAATTACATGTCGGAAGTATAGGCTTGTTAAAACTTGGGAAAGTTACATTTTAATTTGCTCTGTGTTGCAGGAGGGGGAGTTTTAGCACACACTATCCTGGGGGTAACATGGAGTGAGACCACGGGTCAGATCCGCTATCTCATCCTGGATCCTCATTACACAGGAGCAGAGGACTTACAGCTTATCACAGACAAGGTAAATCTTAAGGATCCCTGTCAGCTGCATTTCTCACACAATAGGTTGTCCTACACAGTGCTGACCTTGGTGTGAATTTTGTCTTTCTCAGGGCTGGTGCGGCTGGAAAGGACCAGATTTTTGGGATCAAACTGCATATTATAATCTGTGTTTGCCTCAGAGGCCAAAGGTCATCTGAGCTCTCACAGCCTTTCAAATGGACCTCATTTGGCATCGGTAAAGGACTATGGGCTAGTACTATAACCTGTTTGTTTTATGGAAACATGTCAAACCTTGCAAATTCAAGTAATTTCTGTAATGAAGTTCTTGTAATTTCCCCTCATGGATTTAGTTAGGTCCTACATAAATTATTGTTTCTCCACAAATCACAACCAATGATGGAAGTTATGTTTGTGTGGAAAAGAGAAATTTATTATATACTGTACTTTCTGTACTTGGCATTGGTTAATATAACAAAGGATGGTGAATTATGTATACTTAATGTGCTCATGACATGTTGAAGAGAAATACAATCCATCAATTTCAACAGAGTTTTGTCATTGCTTTATGTTACTGGTAGACGAATGAACCCTCCACGAATGATGCTAAACATGGCCTTGAGTCCCGGCAGAAGTGAACTCCAGTCTGTGACTGGTTCATGTGAATAACTGCTAAAGGAAGTCTTTCTTTTACTGTACTATATGGCTGATTTAACAAGTAATTAAACTGTACAGTGTATTTTGTCTTCGATTTAATTTTACAGCCGTATTTTGATGATCCATTAGTAATTTTGGCCTGTTTTCAAGTAAAATATAAAATGAATATCTTGGCTGTTGGTCAGACAAAACAAGACATTTGAAGACCTCTATTCAGTCAGAGAAGAAGAGAGAAATATCCAGTGTATGAAAACGTCATCATAAAATGAGACTAATCCTCCTTTTTGCGGTGGTGCTGCTGGCAGCATTTAAAGGAAGCCTGGGGGTTCCTGCTCCCACTTTGAGAACTAGTGTAGAAGAAGCTGTTTCTGAATGCAGCCTGATCTGCATTCGTCCCTCTGAAACAGCCTTTCCCTGTAGCTGAGGTTTTGCAATCTGTCACAGTCAAATTACTTTTCTTTTTTCCTGAGCAGACAATTTTTTTAAATCAAAACCCTTACACTGACAGGTCATTTTGCAGCTCTGATAAATCACAAATACTTTCCTTAAATGTTAATTCTTATCCATAGTTTGATTGTGTGAGTAATGGTTGCCACAGAAATACTCCCCTCCCCATTCAGTCTCCATCTCTTCCCATCCTGCATTGGCATGTAAATTCTATGACAGTGACCAGACACAGGTTTATATGAGAGATTCCTCCCAAGTGCTATTGTCATAGGACATCGGCATTTCATTAGTGTGTGTCACTTTTAGGTCTAACTATGTTATTAAGAGTAAGACCATGACAAATTGTAATTTCAGGGGACGCGCCTCCAGATAATCCCCTTTCTTGTTAATGGAGATGCTCTAGGGGGAGCAGTTACTTTGGCATAATAGATCCCCAAGGAAAAACTAAATGACCTCCCTTCTATTCATCAACTGGTTCTGTTCCTTGATATGTTAGAGCGGTTTAAAAACTTCTTCTGGAAAGGAGAAATCACTGCAGGGCGTATTTTGATTTTTAATTATTATATGTTGTTGTTCTTGACTGGTTTCTCTGTTAAAGACAGACTGAAAGTAAGGCAATAGACTGTGTATACAGTGCTGACAAGCAGTTAAGCAGTCAGATTGTATTATGAAGTTGTAGCCTAATAGCAGAACAGTGTAATTTCACTCAGCTGATTCGCATAACTCACCTGCAATGCGGACTACAGTTTAGTGGGAATTAAAATTTTAAGACTGTGATGGAAATTCCATAATTTTCTGGTTTTATTACATTCTACTGCTGACTCTAGATGTGACATTCTTTTGGAAATGTCATCATTTAACTTTGTGCTCTCTTACGTGAAAGTTTCTCTCTTATCCATCATTGTTTATATCAGTAGGTCAGCTTGACCCCAGTGCCTTGGGTTGCACAGGAGGTCTTATTGCTTGTCTATTGAAGGCCCACACAAATAGCTCTGTGAAGGCCCTGGAGTGCCTTATTAGTCTTAGCTTTTTTTTTTTTTCCCCAATATTTGGCTCTTATCTTTGGACACTTGCTGTTTGTGATTTTGCTTTTTGGAGAATTTCCCCAACAAACACTTGATAATGAACTCCAGGCATTATTTGTAAATGCTCTTTTCATTTGATATAAACCATATTTGTTTACCAATTACAAATTTTGCACATTAATATCAAAAAGTAGATTGTATTTTCTAACATTTATTTAAATCTTTTATAATATATTTCAACTTGTTTTTTTGTTTTTTTTAAGACTTGACACTGAAATCTTTAGTAACGCTCATTTGTCAACTAAAAGGAAAAATATTCTGGCCAAAATTTTAACAGTGGTTTTCTTTTCATACATTTTCTACTGGGATTTTTAAAATATTGTAGTCAAACCGGGCCGATTCGGTTCATTTTGAGTAGCATGCAAACAGATTTTATTCATTTTTAGCTGTATATATTGCGATTCTTTGAAGATTTTTTGATTCTAACTGATATTATGAAATCTAATTTAGTTAACTCAGTGCCTCAGAGGATTAAAGCTCCTCGCTGCTGCAGAGCTCTTCTCCCAGGCAACCGTTGCCAGGAAGTGACGTCGCCTAGTTACTGGGCACCCTGTCGCTGTCGGTATCCAGCTGTATCCCGCTAACGAACATTCTGATTTTTAGTGCAGGTGTGCGTTTCATTTATTCGTCTTCGTAACGGAATACATTTTGTCTGAAGAAGTAAATGAAACTCTAACGTGGAAACCCGTTTATTGTGCCTTCTCTTGTCAGGTAAGATAATATGTCCGTACAGCTACAGTTAGCTAACCTGAACCACTGTTTTGGTGTAGTTAGCTACGTAAATGTTAGCATTAGTTAACTGTCATGCTTAACGTGTGTCATGTCTGGGATTAAGTCATACCCTGCTTAAATGGTATATATATAAAAGGTTTAAACTGCAACTAGCTACGCGATGGAAGGAGTCTTTATTGGCAGTACCACCGCTGTCATACCTGGACCCTCTAGCTAAATTTCTAGCAAAATGTGGTTGCAACGCCAGTTACATTATATTTACGGAATTTCTAAAGTGTTGGTATGTAACCACTGTTAGTGTTTCGTTCCTTTTGTCTTTATGGTTTGAAAATCAGTCAGCTAATTTCTGAAACCTGTTTGAGATATGTAACATCTGCATTAAATCTGCATCAAGTGTTGCATTACTGTGTGTTAAAGTAAGTTATACAGTAAATGAGTCGTGAAAAGTGACCTCATATCCCACTCTGGGCTAACTGGACAACTAATGCAAGTGTCAAATGTTTGCTAACCGAGTGATTTTTATGTGCCGTGAAAACGAATGTACACAGTGAGAAAAAAAGGTGGCAAAAAAGCCTTGAGTTTCTAAAAGTCTGTACAGCAGCCTGTTTTGCAGAATAGTTAGCTGTACTATATCATAGATCTACTCTTGGAGTATGTGATTTGATTTTGTGACTGCCCAGTCACAAAGCAGTGATTATGTAGGAAAATATATTTAGGTTTACATGTTTTTTTTTTTTTAAATGCATGGGGAACTGTCTACTCTCACAAGCCCAATATAACCATGGTAAACAATCAGTCGGCTGAAAATTCTGATGTGTCAGGAAGATATATGTGTGAAGACAGATTTGATAAGATTGTTTTGTAAGCACTGCTACATCATTTTACCAACTCAGACGTCATTGTGCAAAGCCACAATGTTCAGGCACTCAGCATAGACTGAACAGGGATTGAATGTGGTTTTGATTTGAAATATGACATGCACTTTCTAAACATGATGGGAGAATCATGTGATTATGATACATTGGTGGACCTCTGGTGCAGGTATCCCGAAGATCATTGACTCTTCTCATCTTTTTTCTTTTGAAGCATGTCAAATAATTACGAATAATTCTATGAATGTCATAATCAGAAAAATTCTCCACCTCACATAACATTTCTTTAAACTTAAAATTTTCTGACATCACATCCTTACACTGACCTACAGGCTCTGTGTGTTGCAGAGGACGGCCATGTTCAACCCAAGTGAACTTGAAGGTGAAGTGGACCATTCATTTTTTGATAGTGACTGTGCTGATAGCTGTGGAGATGGAGAAGGAAAGACCGAGAAAGGCTTGAAGTCTGAAAAGGAAAGCCCAGCTGCACAAGAGACATTACATGCAAAACATGCTGAAAATGCACAAGATGATCACTCTCCAAGGACTAACAGGATAAGAAAACACCCGAAACAAGTGGAGAACAACAGCAGCAGAGCGGAAAGGAAAATGAGGCGCAGGGCATCCAGTGTATCATCTGTTTCTGGCACCTCAGATAAAGTTATAAGTGATAGCAGTGAAAGTGAAGATGACTCTAATTGGCACTCTAAAAGGCCCAGTGGAACATTTATGGCTTTGTTGACTGAGGCCAGAGATGTACATGATACGGATGCCTATAACCAGAGCCCAAATGAGACTGAAGAAGAAGCATTAGCATTCAAGGCCAACACAAAAAGGAGAAATAAACAATCTCCTAAAAAACTGATGAGAAATCGGCGCACCCGGAGTCCATCTCCTACTTCAACTGACACCAGTGCAGATGCAGACTCTGAGAGTTCCTGTAGCAGTAGCAGCCGCAGGAGCAGTTTAGACTCCCCCACTCTCCCCAAACCCAACAAGCCGTCTTTATGTCCTGAAGGAAGAAGGAGGTCATCAGGATCTCAGGATTTGTCTAATATCCATACAGAGGAGTCGGACGATAGAATGACAGATGTGAGCCCTCTGTCCTCTAATGACATCAGCCCTCTGCAGTCGTTGGATCTGAACCCCACCGAGGTTGGAGAGGAAAGCCATAAAAAGCAGCAGCCTCAGCAGGAGAGTGTGCCCTCCAGTGGCCTTAGCAACAGGAATCCAGATGAGGATTCAGATCCAGACGTGGATGAGTGTGAGTAAACTTGAATCTTTCTTATATGTCAGTTATGTTTGCCTTTGCTTTTTACCAGTAGTTCCTAACTTTTTTGGCTTGTGTCCTTACAAGTGCTTAGTCCACATGTAGGGGAAAATTGTTCCACATGAGCATAATGCTTTACATATAACAAGGGTTATATGGCTATATTTGAAAACTAAAAAAATCTGCCTTCTGTCTAAAATCTTGGCAAATATAAACTGTCACACATAAATCCCCTTCCTTAAACAGCTGACGTTTTTTGTTATCATCCATCCAGAAGAAAAGACAGACATCTCACTTTAAAATGTCACTTTTACATGAGCTATAATCTAAAATGGACTTTAGCTTCAGTTTTACCTAAATCACATAAAATCTTTTCTCTTAAGTGACACGAATAAGCCTTTTTCTGTAGCAAATGCGACTATACTTGAACACAATTGTGCACATAGTGATCTTGCATTACAAATACAGTCAGCAAGAATTTACCTTGGAATGGCTTTTGTATATTTAGTTTTTTAAATGTTTTAGTTGTATGTTTTGTCTGTTTTAAAGTCAGATCATAATATTCTAACAAGTGTACTTTTCATCAATCAGGCTCTCTCCGTCTAGAGAGTCAGCTTGGAAGTAACCTGGTCCTTCACTGTCCTGGAGGAAGAAACAGGAAGAACTACTCGTTCTCCAATGATGAAGTAAGGCGCATAGATCGGGAGAATCAGCGACTTCTTCGGGAGCTGTCACGCCTTTCTCCAGGGCCTAGACCTGGAAGTGTTGTGGGGAAGAAAACCCGCGTGGGAAGTAGCTCGCCTCTGGTCCGCCTCTCTCACAGTGCACTGAACAGACAGCGGGAACAACAACGCATTGAGAGGGAGAACCTGGTGAGTTCTGCTTTGTGGGTGCTGGATTCACTTAATTATTTAAGGTTTATTAGTCATCACAAAAATATAAATACTAGTTTAAAAATTTAGCTAATGAGATGATACTTCGTTTAACAATTCTTTTTGAAATGCAGATAGGTGATAGCTGATAAGCTCCAGATAATTTACCTAACACCATCATATAACCACACAATAGTGCACTTTTTCAAATCTATATTAGAATTTATCTTCTAGGGTTCATCACACATCATGTCAGTGATATGTGAATCGAGAGAAATTTATAACAAAATATTGAACAAGATCTGTTTCTTTCTACTGTCACTAGAGCATTTCGGTGACTCCTATGTCCAAGTAGTACGCAACTTGTCTGTGGAATCTAAGTTGCATATTCAGACTGGACCTTTTACAATTGTCATGTATTCCTATCTGCCTAAATTTCTAATTGGCAAACACCAAGTGTCCAAAAAAATGAAATTGTAGTGGGGAATTTTGCACAGATAAAATATAACAAATTAACAGATAATTAGATAGTAAGATATTGGTACTGCTGTCTCTAGAATGAGATTTCAGTTTTATTATTTGTCATTATACAGCAACTATCTAAACGGACACTGCTGTTGACGCTTCGAATATTTAACTCTTTTTAGTGAGACTAGACTTTATGCCAAGGGTTTTTTTTAAATGATGCTTTACTCACAGTCAGGGCATCCTTATATGTTTTCATAAAATTCACATCAACCTTTGCAACCATCCTCTTAACTATCGTCTCGTCACCAATTTTTAAACAAATTTTCAGTATAAGGACTGTAAATGATGCATTTGACATGATCCACTAGGCGTTGTTACTGCATCAGTGACTTTCTCTGACACATGCATGTTAGTGTAAAACATACTTGTGTATTTTTTTTCTGAACTAACTTTGTAATTGCCATCATAGAAGCATAAACAACAACATTTCTGGGAGAATCTGAGGTTTGAGTGGTTGAAATAATTACATAAATGATTAATAAGTTTTTGTCACTTTAGCATGTGTGATTTTTCTGAAGTTATAGCTTAATATTTTAATAGATTTGTCTCTTGAAGTGTACATTTTTTTAAGAATACAGGCATCATAGGTACTAGTTTGTTCGTTTTACTTAGTGACAGTCTCAGAGGGCCACCCCTGAAAACAGACACGGATGGACTTAGACGGATGGCAGCAGGTGGCAGGCTCGCAGCAGTGCTGCAGAGTGACTTTATCAGACAGTTAAGGCTCTGCAGCTTTAGCCTCTCACCCCATTTTAACTCTGCTTGACCACTCAGGCCTAAAAACACACATTCAAACTAACAACAGTGTTAAAAAATAAGATGGCAATCGCTAATTGGAATAGTTATTGGCAGCTAACGGGATTTTAGTATTTCTAAGTGAAAATCTGCATTTTTCTCTTCATTGTTGTTGTTACTCATGTTTCTCAGTCATAGTGATTCGCGGTTTCACTTTGATTCTGTAGCAGTTCTTATCAGGGACTGTGTTTCAGTCATTTTCAGGACAGACTGTTCACTTTCTTGAGTCCATCTTTCTGTGTTGTCAGGAGTACTTTTCGTTTTCTCTATTTTTAGAGAGAAGTAACTGAATCTGCCGTATGATCAGTGTATCCACCCCACACACCCACATGTAACACACCTCATTTTTCCTGCACAAGTAGTACCAGTTCTGTGTATTTCTGGATTGGTCAATTACACCATATACTTAATTTTCTTTCAGAAAGGGTGAATTAACACAGCAGGTGGATTTTGTTTGAAGAGAGTCCAAATAATCCATGCATTGGAAATGCAGTAGGTGAAATGTCTGACTGCAATTAGAAGTCTGTGGTTTGTTACTGTAATGTCTGGAGGACTTTTGAACGTCAACAATCTCTTGACGCTTGAGATTTTTCCTAGTTGCATTGCTTCATATGGAGATTTTGCTTACAGAGAGTTTTCTGCAGTGCCTGCATGTGGGAGTGTGACTGCATATATGACATTTAAACACTTGCCTACACTGCTTTGCCTCATGCTGCTTTGTTGTGTTTGCTGTGTACCAGACTTTGTTTTTTTTTCATAAGTTAAAAATAAGTGAAATTTGTTCAGCGGGGACTTGGCTTTATGTCTGAGTCAAATAGTTGTTTATGAGTAATATAACCACTTTTAAAGTACTATGTGGTGTTTTATACATTGTGAGTCAACAGCCAGAACAAATGTGATCAAATCAGTCGAATCAAATGCTTAAAATACTTACTATATAAAGGATATTACTATTACCAGTTTACTATTTACAACTAGATGACACCTATTAAAACCAATGCAATGAAATGTAATGCAACTCTGCAAAACAGATGTGTTTACACATTGGTAATACATTGATATATGGGGTGTGGGAAAAATATTAGGAACATATTTTATTAAAAGTAATACAGTTCAGCAGCACCGCAAACTACTGTTGCTAACAATTTCACCAAATACTTAACATTAGGAGCTTAATTCAGGCAAGATTTGTTGTTTGTAGAAGTGGAAGAAATACTTAATGCTTTTATTTGAGTAAAAGTAGCAATACTACAGTATAACAATACTTGGTAGAAGTACAAACATACTTTAAAAACAAAAAAGTATTACCAGCTAAATTTGCTGTAAATTATGTATTTTACTGGATTGCTATTAATGTGCAACAGCATTTTCTGTTGTAGCTGGTATAGCTTGTTTTGCCTGTTATTTTACTGTGCTGCTCAGTCTTTATATTTTATTGTATTAGTTTTCAAAACAAGTATAAACTGGAAAGTACCTCAAAATCTTTCTAAAGTACAGTTTTTCAGTAAATGCACTTACTGACATTCCACCACTGATTAACTGCAACTAATTTGCATTTATAGTATTTTTTTAATGAGTACTTATGAAATAAAAATCTTTTTGTTTCTGTCAGGCTTTCTTGAAGAGATTGGAGTCTGTCAAACCTACACCTGGCCTGAGGCGCTCAGAACAACTGTCAGACTATCAGCGTCAAGTTGGATACCTGGGAGCTCCTTCGTATCCCATCTGTCGGACCACCACGAAAAACAAATCCAGCAACAGGACAGCCTCAGGTAGGCTGACACTCACAGTCGTAAAACATGTAGATGCTTTTCAGTCATTTATATATCCTAAACAGCATGGCAATACAGTGATCAATGCCTGCTCATAAAAGGCCCTCGGCCAAACACAGCAGTTTAAATAACAAACATGTACCTTCTCAGTAAAACTGCAGGTACATCTATTCAGTTGTATAATATATTACATACAGGGACTAAACCACGGGAGCCAGGTAAAGTGGAGTATTACAGACCCACTGTGACGTAACTGTGCAACATAAGAACACTCTTGAGTGTTTGGATTCCACAAATTCAGGTTAAAACCAGCAGATGTTTTTGTGGTTGTTCTGGAGCAGTCTGGCATTGATTTAATGAAGGTATACAGAGAGGATCAGCATGTGGCACTGCGCCGCAGCGCTCTCAGATTGAAGGCTGCAGATTTATCGTAAGTCAGCTTCCCGATGGCTCCACAGATTTAATTAACTGAAAGAAGACATTCAGACAGTATAAAGCAGCTATGAACACTGGTAAGAATCACCCATTTGTTAATAGATAAGTACCTGATTTACTGTTTTTTCTCTTTTCACCCTAAATCTATTAAATTTTTTGTTGTTGTTGTTGTTGTTGAAGCTTAGTGTACTGGTAACACTTGAAATGATATACCATCACCTGAATCAATTCCTGTGGTGCTAAATGACTACGATCAGTTGCTATATCAATGCTAATAAAACACCATTATGCTTTTTTGTGTTTGCTTTGGTGAAATGATCAAATATGCACAAGATATATTTACTTCTCAGTGGAATGAAAATAAAAAAGGCATGTTAAGTTTCTGATTTGAATATTATAGTAAATCTGTAACCAGAAAGTATGTTTCTTTTGTCACCCACAGCAGATGCCAGACCAGTCAACTCCAGAGCAGCTTCTTCCACCACTGACTCCAGCAGCACACCTTTACCCAGGTCAAAAAAAGTGAATCCAGCACGACCAGCCTGGTGCTGAGAACCTGACGTTTGACAACATCTAATCTACAAAGAAGCACGTGACTGGTTTAATTTAGTGATGTCTTGGTGTCTTCATCACAAAAGGCCAACTTTAAAAAGGTACAAAGCCATACTGATACATGTATAGGGTCATCATATTGACTGAATCAATGATTGTGTTGTCATGCTCATCCATTATAAAGAAGATGAAATTATCGCTGCTCTTGGATGCTGAAATATAGCGACTGACTCACTGATCTCAAAGCTATTGTCATTCACTTTGGTTGTTCAGCTGTGGCTTCTGAATACAGAAGTAACTCCTAGCAATACTTGCATTTTTTCAGAAAATATTGCTTTTACTTTAACAGCTGTGTTGCAATGGTAATATCAAATTCATTCTATATTGTTTGAGTGACTAAAATTTCCATTAAACAGGAAATTTTTCATCCCTTTTTTTAAAAAACATTTGTATGATTCATGATGCAGTAAATGTTGTGTTTACATAATAAAACTATTTTAAAGTTTATTTTTGGGTGTTATTCTGTTCCTTGTGAAGTAAAACTGCTTGTTCAACTGAAATTAGGTATTTTACAAATTAAAACAGAAGAAGAATAGTAGAATAATGTTGGACACAAAATGATTGCCTAAATTCTTCTCTCTTGAAGGACACTTGAACCAATAGAGCACATGGCACAGGTGGTACAAGCGAAACCTTTTCAGTAAGACAAGTGGTTGTAAATGAAACTACCATTTACTTCTCTTGGACTAATAGCTGTTAATATTTTGTAGTTTGTCTACAAAACCAATAGTGCTGTGGTGCACCTCTTCCAGCTGGTTGTATATTTGACTCATTGTGTCAACAGTGCAGGCGTCACGCTACAATGGGTCGGAAAAAATGTTTAACATGGATGTACTATTCCTAAGAAATCTGTCATAAGTGAAAATAAGGATCGGGGTTACTGTCTGTTATTTTCCAACATAGAGATGGTGGATATTTTGATGAAATCTCAGTGAATGGTGTTTTCACATGTCTATTTAGATACTTCACTCTCGAGGTGCTGTAGTTGTTCATGCTGGCTCACTGTCACATTATCGTGACCACTTGAACACAGCCATAAGCAGTGTTGCTCCCATCGTCTGTGATTTTCATACTGTGATGTGTGAAAGTGTAAGCTGTGAAACTCACAAGATGGTGGTTGCCATGATAACAGCATGCATCAAAGAAGACTAGACTATGAGACTAATACATCTTTATTCTTAATAAAATAATGTATGAGGTGGGATACAAGGGTCAAAGTGGTCACACCATAACACATGGGCCTCAGCCACTGCTTTACAAACTAACATGAGGAGCCTATGACCTGTAGTGATGTCTGTGTCATCACAACATCTCCACTGGCTTGACTTTGATACTGTAAGATTGCCTTTTGGCATGTCGTGGATGGGATATATACACCTGTCTGAGGAGGCACCTTAACCTAGGTCAAGGGTACCTAAGTCAAATACACCTACCCACCTTCTCCAGGCTGTTGCAGAGGAGTGGTACATGTCCACATTGTAATTCACCAAGCTGTTATCACTGTATTACAAGAAATAAGACTTAAACAAAGTGAAGGGTTTCCTTGGGGACTGGGAGATTAGAAAGTTTATTTTGTGAACTTCTTGATCTCATCGTACAGCACCAACACGAAGGCACCACCCATGCCTCTGATCACGTTGGACCAGGCACCCTTGAAGAAGGCTTTTGATCCCTCGTCCTTGAGGATCTTCCTCCAGCAGTCGATTGTGCCCTTGTACATGATGTCAGCTATGGAAATAGAGACATGAACAGTGATGCGTAATGCCCACAAATGCATGCGCAAAGTGCGTAATTGTGGCAAACACGTCCGATGCGCTACTTTAACAACACATGCATGAGTGACCCTCACCTCCTTTGCGTCCAGACTGCATCATCATACGACGTCTGACTGTGTCGAAGGGGTATGAGATGAGACCAGCAGCAGCGGTCACAGTCTGGGCGATCATCCAGCTGACGACGATGTGCGTGTTCTTGGGATCTGGCAGCATTCCTGTATGAGGGAGGAGTTAAATCACCGGTTCGTCACGATAAAATACGCACAATTGTTAGCATATTTTGAATGTTAGGTCAGACAGGTGTGCGCACCTTTAGCTGTGTCGAAGCATCCGAAGTAGGCCGCTCTGTAGATGATGATACCCTGCACTGACACGTTGAATCCGAGGTAAAGACCCTTGAGGCCATCGGTTTTGAAGATCTTGGTGATACAGTTTCCAAGACCGGTGAACTCTCTCTCAGCAGTACCTTTGCCGATGTCGGCAGCCAACCTCGTTCTGGCGAAGTCGAGAGGATAGACGAAGCAGAGTGAGGTCGCACCAGCGGCACCGCCAGATGCCAGGTTACCAGCGAAGTAACGCCAGAACTGTGTTTTTTGATCCACGCCACCGAGGAAGATCTTCTTGTACTTGTCTTTGAAGGCAAAGTTAAGGGCTTGGGTGGGGAAGTAACGGATGACGTTGGCCAGGTTGCCTCTCCAGAAGGAAAGGAAGCCCTGTTCCTTTGGGATTCTGACCACACAGTCAATGATTCCCTTGTACTGCATCTCTGCGGTGATCTGTTTGCTGGCATGCTGGACCTGCAAAACAAAACAAAAACAAAAAACAAAAAAAGAAAAGAAAAAAAAGAAAAGTTCATGAAAAAATGGCTGCATTGACACCTGCCCAAGATATGTTAGGTTTCTGAGGAAAACATTGTGGAAAGCAATCCTGTAAAGATCATTTTCTATTTTTATGAAGGCAGAATGCAGTGTTCCTAATTTTTATAACCCATTTATAACATTTACATATTTTCCCCCAATGTTTAATATTCTCTGGATACGCATTATGTAGTTATCGGCCCAGCAGTCTACAGGCACACTCCTGTCACTTGATACTGTACTGTGTATTAGATTACAAGCTTCAAGTTAAATATAGCAATTCACTTTCACTAAATATCACTGCAGTCATCTGTTATGGTGGAGTAATAATTCACTTAATGAACGAACAAGCGGCACAATAAACATGCATTATGGTCGTTTTATTGAAGCACTAAGAGGTCTTCTCACCACTGCTGTCATAGCAGCAATACTGCACTTTCCAGTGCGTAAAACCATCTCCAAATTGAGGCAGGACCTCTCACTTGCTCTCAGGCATTACGCACAAGACTAAATGAACCCACTTAGTGTGCAGGTGGACCTGATTTTTACTAAACCAATTACAGTTTTACATTTTGGTGTTTGGTTTTTGGGAAAACCAACAATTACGCACGCTTTACGCACAAAACGGTGAACATGCGGCCATGCTACGGGTAACAGTTCAATCTTTTTTCTTTTTTTTTTTTTTACCTGCAGCAACAACTTGACTCTCTCAATGGGAGCGACAGCTGTTTTGGAGATGGCAGCGGCAATGCCACCTGCCAAAAAGTCCTTCATGAAACTAACCACCGCGTCCGACATGGCTGGATGTTTCTTGTGCTGATGTGAGACCCCTGACTGTTCCAAACCCCACCAAGGTCCTCAAGGAAACCCTACGCCCCTCCAAGTGGACGAGGCACCCCCATGTGTCCTAATATATCAGGGTCACTTATCGCGAGAATTTTGAGTGATGGATTTGCAGTTTGTCGAACAGATAAACGAGGCTGAATAAATTTCCGAGGTTGAAGTTCAAGCAGTGCGCCATGTTTCTGAAGTCAAGGGTCGGCCAAACCGGGGACGTTTAAAGGACACAAACTGTGTAATTTGATAATTATTAAAACACAGATATGCTGAAAAGAGGCCTTTTACCTAAAGTCCTGCTGGTGAGCAGCCTCCTCATTTACAGTCCATGAACACTTGTGGGGTCCGTTGAGTTTGCAGAGGTCAGAAAATAAAGAAAGGAATTCTGTGTACTGTATTTTAGGTGGAATTAGATGTGGTGCAGTTAGAATAAAGACCACTGACAACATTTCACAATGTTGGTGCTTCATGATTCTGACAGGACACTTTAAAAGAGATACACAGACATTTCCTGCATCATATTCTCACATAAAAATGCTTTTAGGCCACTAAAGCAAATTTAATATCAAAGCCCATTGTTTTTCAAGGGAGATGGGTTTTTTTTAAAGGCCAATGGATTAATAGTAATCTATTTATCAGTCTGTCAGTGTCTTAAAATACAGCCTGTTTGTTCTGGGTCAAGGGTGGGATGGATGGAGAAGCTTTTTCTGATCAAAGGGAAGTGAAGAAAGACAAAAACATGCGCTGGAATCACCACCGACAACGTGCTCCAGTTAATTTATTTTACATTTTCCGCGCTGCGCTCTTAACATTTTGTTGCACCTTCATTTTTTGGCACCTGCTGCGAGGACGTGGGGTCAGTGGTAAAACAGGAAAAGACAAAACTTCTTTCAAACCTGACCTGACACGTGGGACGTCACAAGATCTGATATGAAAGGGCAACGTGGTCCAAACTGGTAAACTGGCCAACTTGGCTCCGTTTTGTTCCACTGAGGAGGCGCTGGACAGAACGTACTACAGCTCCATGTCCTCCAGTGTGGTTGGACGGCAAAACTACTCCATTCACATATTTGTGGGGGGAAAAAAGTGTTGTTGTTTTTTTTTTTTTTTTTTTTTTAAGTACTACTTTCAGTGTTCTATTAGCAGCTACAAGCAACAAACACATTCAGTTGGCACAAGAAGCGCAACGACGATTTTACAATAACAGTAAATAAATAAATAATCACAAATTACGCGCTACAATGCGTCTTAAAACTGTGTTCCATATAGCCTTAGAACCTAATTTAAAGCTTACTAGTTTCTGAAAGATCTATAAAATTCTGCTGACATGGAAATACTATAAAATAAGTGAGCTCACCCTGTAGGCGTCTAACTAACCACCACCTCATGGCCACTTGGTGGCGCTCCTTGACTGAGTAGATTCATAGCCTTAAGGTTTCAAAGTGTCTCCTAACAGAATAATATCAAAGTAGTAACACTACTGATAATACTTCAGAAATTACATCGTTTTGGGTTTTTAAAAAAAAAAAACTTTATCATTGAGACAATCAATTATTATAATGCAGTGACACTAATGCATGAAGGCTGAACGCCCAGATCATTGGTATTAGTGTATTAGTTGTTATTGCTCACTTTCTATAAAGCTGTATCTTTTATTACTGCTGAAGGAGATTAAACTAGTTTGCCCCTGTCATTTATGGAATCAAGAAACCTTTCAACCTGTCCTTAAAATTCAGCTTTATCTGTTGTTTGTTAACAATAATGTCAACTCAGTGAGTGAACAGCTTTATTGCTTATCTGGAGGCCACCTTGACCGCTTCTTTCCCATCTATCTGCTGCTGTGTTGTGCTGTCTAGATGAGTCAGTGGGTGGCAGTAGAGAGCTAGGTTATGAACAAGAGCATCCCTAACCTCCCCAGAGAGCAAATGTGGTACCCAGTAAAACAGGTGCTTTTCCTCGTTTACTTCCCACA